CCATAGACAGACAGAACACAGAAGTGGGACCAGGGTAAGCACAGAACAGAAACCTAACAACTGGCAAATCATAACAGAATACATACTCAGGATAAACAAAAGCATAAAGAAACACAAAACACTGAGTCGGCAGACTCAGGACCATGACATGTTTACGCTTTTACAGATACCTTTGTTTGGGAATTATCCACAGACCAAATTAAAGAGGGGCTAGGCCACACTGATTAAAAAACAAAACAAGTATTAGTGTTCATTTTCAAGTCAAAACTTGAAATTCTATTTTAAGAATAAAGTGGAAATAATGAAATTAGAAAGAAAGTCTTGTCACGGTCTGGGTGCGCAAATCATGTGGAGTAAGGATGAGGACCCAAAATTTGAGTCCCAAATGCAGATAAAGAGGCTGAAACTGAATCTTAACAAAAGGTAAGCTGAGACTAGAGTAACTAACTTCAACTGGGTGAAATTAAACACTAAGGGTGTGGTACATAAAGAACATAGAAAAACCTAAAACCTGGAACATAGAAGGAGCCAGACAGGCAAAAAATGCACTAAAGGACAAACGAAAACTGACACTATATAATAAATTTCCCACATGTGGGACTAATAAAAGTTATCTTATCTTATATTCACATCAGGGTGATATAGGGAAGTGGAAACATAGGGGAACAAAGCTGGAATTAATAGACATAACGAGATGAGGGAAGCAAAATTGAACACACTGAACACAGGGCAAGAGACTAGCACGATAAAACAGAAAACACACTGAGAAGAAGACACGCTTGACACTGGGGCAGTCAGAGAAACAGATATAAGAACAAAACAGACGAGAGAAAAGTAGGACCAAACGAGATAAAACATGAAGACATCAGTGTCTAAACATGAAGCGCAGAACACAGGGGAGGTATGACAACAGAAACCTGAAGATTAGAAAATGTACATTGCTAACATTAGCTAAGCTGGCTAATCAAGTTGTTTCACAAATTCATCTACATGAGGCACTTTGTAGAGCGTATAGCAACCATGGCAGTTGTTTGACTTAGAACATCAGGTTAAATCTCCACATTTGGACTTTTTTCTCAAAAAACTTTCAACCGTATTCTCAAAATGAACACTAAGATTTTTTTTCTTAATTCGGCTCTAATGCTCAGCTACAGATGTCACTCATTGCTTTTACATATTTCGACTCTTTAGTGTTAGCATTTTAGCTATCACTTTGTTGTGTTTTTGAACCATGAAGTGACCATATTAGGATGAAAGAGTGGAGTGCTATAATATGCGCTAATGCTAGCAATCTTTAACTTTAGCGGTACAAAGCACAGATACACAGACAGCATCTGCTAAGTAGTGCTAGAATTTCACTCACCACTAGTGAAGCTTTTTGGATGGTCTGGACCACAAAGTAAGCATCATATATGCCATTACTAAAGGACGACAACACCACATGCAAGTAAGAAAGTTCCAGGTCAGTCACTTAGAGTGTTATGTAAACAATTTCTAAATTTACTTTATTTAGAATCACTTGATCAAAGTTAATTATGATCATTTTTTGACCTTATAATGTGAATCTGCTTAATCAATGGTCATGGCAATTTGCATATTAATGATAAAGGAACTGACCTCACAGACCATTGTTCATTGAGTAGACTAGGTTCAGTTGTTGTGCAAATGTCCTGTTTCTAAGATTGGGGAAACCTGCAGTCAGCTGAGACTGAAGAAGATTCTCCCACTGAAAACGCTACATCCAGATGTATAGAATGAACCTTTTGGGATTTACTTACCTGGATGATTGAGCATGCATCAAGACGCGGCTCTGCTTACCAATTTTTCTGTTTTTTTGGTGGGAAAAGAGAGAGAAAAAAAGAAGAAAAGAATCAAGAACAAAAAACAGTATAATTAAAAATAAATAAATAAATAAATTAGGTACAACAACATCTCAACAGAGATAAATGGTACTAATATAGCAATATATTATAATGTAATAATATACAGTTCTCCTTTTGAACATGCTTTTTCGAACATCAACAGTTTTCAAGATATCATTGTCAAATTTTATGTGACGGTAGATACAACACTGATTTAATTTTGGGAAAATTGGTCAAAGGTCAAGATCAAAATCAATAAAAACTTTATATTACCCACACAGAACAAACAGCACACAGCTAGAGGGAGAACACAACAAAGAGCGAGGGAAGTCTGAGACAATATATACACCGAGGGTAATGAGGAAACAGGAAGTTGTAAAGCTTACACTAATTACAGACTAAAGAGACAGGGAAAGCAAAATGGAACACGGTGCACATAGGCCTATCAAAATATAACAGGAAGACACTAATACTGAGACCAGCACTAACATATGGAAACTTGACACAAAGACAGAAGTTAAAACAGAAAGAGACGAGACTAAAAAAAATAGAAGAGGAATACCAAAAGGGAATTAACCAATCAATCAACTAAGCAATCAGAAAACTAACGGCACAGAAAACAGGATTCATCATAAGCCCAGGAAAATAAATATAACACTATAACCAGAAGACATAATAATAATACACAATATAGAGAACACAACATCAAAAATACTAAACCAGAAACCCCCAAATATTCAAGAAGCTCAAAAACAGGGACCAAGGAAATTTCATTATCCACTGTTGCATTGATATGACAGCATATATTTTTCTTGGTGCACAGGAGGGCAAATCAGATTTATGGGAGAGATCAGGCTTTTGCCACACTTAATTTGTGGCAACCCACCCATGACACCCACAAGAACAAAGAGGCTACATGCATGGAGGCGGTTCACAGTCTGAGATTGTGTTCTTAAGAGTTCTTCTGGACTACATCGATGCAGAGAGCATCCTCACAAACTTCACAACAGCCTTGTACCATAGCAGAAAATTTACATGAAGTTATGGAAAATTTTCCAATGTTTTAAAATAGACACCGAGCACCATTAGTTCTCAGTTAGTGTATGAGGAACTCTACCAGAAAATGAAGGGGACAGACTGCTTTTTACCACAGACAGCTGGAGCTGTGTGAAGGAAATTAGGTTATGTTTATCATCTTTAGAACACCATAACCATCAGATCAGTGAGTCATTTGGTTTTTATGTGAACTGCCGACACAAATAAAGAAGACACATCACCTGACATGCAGAATCATTTTTCAAGGTCACCTCAACAGCACCAAATGTCACCAAGCACGTTTTCGCAAGAGTTCCACATTTAAACAAATTAAGGCTTGCTTGCAGGTCCTAAATGGGCCCCTCGTGTATGTCACAAAACGAGATGGTGATCGGACAAAACTGAATCAGAGACACAAAATCAAACAAAAAAAAGAAAGAAAGAAGAAGAGACAAACAGAACATAAAGGACCTCAAAGAGCAATGAAAAGTTGGAGAGGGTGCATTTATGATCAGTGGTGCAAAATGAGATATGAAACAAAAACCGAGACACAGAAAGATAAAGAGATTAAAAAAAACAATCAAATGATACACAAAGATCCAACATAGGATAAAACATGACTGTAATGAGACAAAATGTTGTAGAACATCAGCAAACTGTCTATTTGGTGAGACAAAACTACCAAAACTCTGCGTGGTTTTCAGCTTCTCTGTGGGATGAGTGAGGAAGATACATGTGCCCAGAGGCCCTAAACTTTCATAATCCGTCCATGCATTTTGCATGTTGTGTATGTTCAGGTCTTTTATCGTCTCAAATTATTAAAGCCTAAATGGAAGAAACTTACCGCAACAAAGTGCTAAGACTTACTAATGAGCAGAATTATCACTACAGATGTAAGGCAATGGCGGTGACAGAAAACCTGTTTCTGTACAGGTATTATAAATAGTCCTGAGGGGGAGGATGTGCATGTCTGACCACATTTCACAATAATGCATTCAGTAGCCGCCGAGATATCAACCTCTGATTTCCTGTCATTGTTACTCATCACAACACTGAACTATGTAACCCTTTGAGGTTGCTTGGTTTGGCCTTAAAGTTGAATGCAATCCAACATACAACACTTTCTCAGCAAAAAAAGAAATATTACATACATCATAAAAGGATGATTTATTGCATGATGCTCATTTTAATGTTTGATGACAACAGTACTCCAAGAAGTCTAGATAATCATGTTTTTCCTTTCTTTACTACCTGCTGGTAGTATCTTTGGTTTCAGGTGGGCAATAGTACAATGGCAACACAAAGAAGGAAAAAGGCAGTACATGCAGTGAAAAAGTCCACTACAGGAGCAGTTTTTGTTCATCTTCCGTTTGAAAGTATTTTGAATATGATTTCCTTGTTGTGAAGTGAAAAGAGTAAAACTGCCAATATAAAAATTTATTTTTTTAAAAGAAAAAAAATCTATTTTGCTGACAAGCTGAGGGCCTGTTTCGCTCCTGATCTGCATAAAATATATTTTCTCCAATTATATAAATCTAAACATCTAAACAAAATATTCCTTCTCCTTCCCCACCCTACTTATTTAACCTCTGGGAGTTTCTGTTACAAGTTTCATTCCTTGGTCTCTACAGACTGCACTGTGTCTCCTTCGTCTCTATGTGTCTCCATGTGTTCTTTCAGTTTGGCATTAGATGCGAACGTCATCATGCACCGCTCGCAGCGCGGCTTCACCCGCTTTAAGCCAGAATGGCTGCGTTTGTGTCGTGCCAGCTCGGACGAGCTCTTGAACTTCAGCTCGCATGTGTCGCAGGGATACGGGCGTTCCCCCGTGTGGATTCTCTGATGCAACTGAGCCTCACTGAGGGTGAGGAAGGACTTCTCACAGTGTCCACAGGGGAATGGCCGCTCTCCTGTGTGGATCAGGTTGTGTCTGGTGAGGGCGTAGGGTTTGGTGAAGCCCTTCCCGCAGTAAGTGCAGGGGTAGGGGCGGGCCCCAGTGTGTGAGACGATGTGCTCTTGCTGCGTTTTCTTGCTCTTAAAGCGCTTCCCGCACTGAGGGCAGGAGTACGGCCTGTCGTCCACGTGTGACCTGTGATGTTTTGAGAGCTCGCCCTGTGACAAAAAGCCTTTCCCGCACTGAGAACAGAGGAAGGGTTTCTCCCCGGTGTGCATCCTCTCATGTCTGGCCAGCACAGACACCAAGGTGAACCTCTTTGGGCAGTGGGAGCACTGGAAAGGGCGCTCACCCGTGTGAACACGGAGGTGTTTGATGAGCATGAAGCGCAGCGAGAATCGTTTGCTGCACTGGTTGCACTGGTAGGGTCGCTCCCCAGTATGGGTGGACAGATGTCTCTTAACGTCAGACCTCCGAGTGTACGTCTTCTCACAATGTGGACATTTAAACTGACGCTTCACCTGATGCATCTGCCTGTGCTGAGAGCGTGCGAGTAGGGTGTCGAAGCCTTCGCCGCACTGCTGGCAGATGTAGCGTTTAGCGGTGACGTGGGACTTCCTGTGCTCCAGCAGCTCAGACGGAGTCGGGAAACTCTGACTGCAGATGGAGCACATTTGAGGCAGCTGGCTCTCCTGCGAGTGAGACTTTTTATGGTGGACAGTCAACGCCCTCAGGTTAGCGAAGGAGCTCCTGCATACCTGGCAGGTGAAGGAGATGGCTACGCCGTGATGTTTGCTCTCGTGCTTCGCCAGATCCCACGAGTGCTGGAAGGTTCGGTCACACTGCGAGCAGTGAAACGGTCTCTCTCCCGTGTGAGTGAGCTGGTGTCTCCTGACATCCGATGTCCGGGTGAACGTCTTACCGCATGTTTCGCATGTGAGTGATCTCTGACGGCCGTGCAACTGAGAAACACTCTCTCTGCTTTGCTCTGGCTGCTCTGCTTTTCTCTCCTCCGAGTTTCCTCTGGGAAAAAGTTTAATAGATGTAAATATTTCATCTGTGCTGGAGGGGGATGGTGTAAATTTAACTCCTGAGAGAGTCCTGTATGCTTCTTTGCGAACGCTCTGCATGTGGAAGTGTGGAGGACTGTTTTCATCCGAGTTATGGAAAGGACACTGCGAGCAGGTGAAGATGATAGACGTCATCTCGTGTGAATCTCCTGCATTAAAATAAAGGAACAGATACCTGAGTGGATTTATTTAAGAAGTTCAACATTGTTTTCTTCTTGACATCACATCACCTTTGTCAGATCCTTTGATGGCTATCACAGAAGGGGCAGCTGATCCATCAGCAGTGCTCCTGGAGAAATCAAAACACTGTGTCACAATATTTAAAGGAAAATCTCTCTGATTTTTCACATTTTTGTGATATGAACAAGTAGAAGAAAGTGTAACAGGAAACCATAAATGTTTAATCAGAATGCTAAAGTACATAAAGCACATAAAAATCCTTTCAAAGTCTGTCATCTTGTCCTGGGATACAGCAGTTTATATGCAGTCATCATAGGGATTAATATCATGGTAATTTCGAGCTTTTAAAGAATTGGGTGCACAAGTACAACAAATTCTTGCTTTTTAAAGTAATTAAATATGTATGCTGTACAATCATTTCACCTTGGAAAAAGAACAAATCAAGGAAATCATTAAAAGCTCAAAATTACCCCGATATTCATGTCCACAATGACTGCATGCAAACTTGATCTGCAGATGAGAAGCTGCTCATATCTGTGTACTAAATATGCTCCAGTGAGCACAAAGACGTTAAAACCAGGGAATCGCCCAGCCTATAACATGTTAATTAGTGAGGTTTAGCAGTGCTGACGGGCAGATTTATTTATTTTTTAACATTTGCACCGATCCAGATAAAGCGTTTAAGGATGCTGGGTGTGGCTTCACATTTACCAACCAGACATGACAGTAATGACCTATTTTCTTATATTATTTTAACCGTGACCAGGAATATTTTAACCATACTTAAATGGATGAGCATGAATTAAAAAGTGCATCTTTAAATTATAATAGCTATACCCAAGATCAACATAACCAAATTAATCAAAATTTTTTTTGTTATTCTAATAAGGTGTACATTTCTGCTAAAGATATTTGGAATGAAAATAATGTTTTTGTACATTTTTGGTTCTTCGGGATTTTCTCTTGTTGTCCTTTTTATTTTACACGTCTCGTTGCAACTCGGCGAAGTCTTTAGTTGCAGACGTGTGGATCTGCGCATGTTTCCTGACGTGTCAAACTCCTGTGCTTCCGACATTTCGGTCTGGATTTCTGCCATTTCTTGAGCAGAAAATGAATTATCTTTCAGGTCTGCGCATATATTTCTCTCTATGCCTCCAAGCTGGAACTCATCTGTCACTTCTTCTGCAATGACTTCCCGTTTCCCTTTAGTCACTTGGTCACTTATTTCAAGCCCTTCATGGCTTTTTCCTTCATCTGTTCCCTTTCCTGGTTCAAGATCGTCATTTATGGTTGACTGGTTGTTCTTTTCTGTAAGTACGTCTTGCCCCCTTAATGCAAAGGTTCTCGTCAAAGTCTCCAAAGCTTTCGCTACATCCACAGTCTCACTCGTTTCTTCAGCCCTCACAGCAGGAGCCTCTTCGTCGCCAGCGCTATCAGCACTTACAGCCACTATCTCCTCTTCATAGAAATCTGTCTGAACTTGAACTGCAGCCGACTCCATCATTTGCTCATCCACTTCAGCTGCTCCGACTTCCACTTCAGTGTAAACGGTGACCACGCTGTACTGGTCGGTTCCCACTAAAGTGACTGGGTTCAATACATTAGCGTAGTTATGGATGGCGTCCAGTCCAACTGATACGTTTGTCTTTTGTGAGGGAGGGATTGATAATGCAGACATGATGGAGTTACCAGCAGTGGAAGAAGGACCGTCTGCAAAAAAAAGAGACTCATCAGCTACTGCAGAGAGAGACATATGTGAACAAAATCTCTCAATTCATTTTATTTATATAGCACCAATCAAAACAGACTCAGGTACTAGGAAGTAAGAGTATAAAGTGTATACTAATAATAGTACACACACACACACACACACACACACACACACACACACACACACACACACACACACACACACACACACACACACACACACACACGTATATAATACAAACAAATGTATTTAGGTGCGATGAACACAACATCTATTGTATCTGTTATTAAACATTTAGTTGACGTGTTACAAATATGTGGGAATCAAAGTAGGTTAAAGCCTGGTTACACTATCATTTTGTGGTATCGGTCTAAAACATAAATATATACAATAGAATATGGAATGACTGAGTTCATTTACATGCAAAGTAATATGATGTATTTGATTGTATTTCCAAGCCAATTCAACCTTTTCTCTCAAACCTTCTCTTCAAAACATTGAACCTGAGAGGACACTTAGATATATTCTCAGAAATTGTCATTTAAAGTTTGCTGATAAAAGCATTAGGAAGTCACGAGCACCTCTATATTTTGGTGTCAAAATTATGTTAACATACTGTAATACACAATTCACTCAAACATGGCAAACAAGAAGAGGATTAAATACATTTAGTTTTGTTTATACAACTTGTGTTTTTTAATTTCTTTTGGCATAAAAAAGATTAAAAATATAATTTATTACATTAGGAAATGTCACTAAAATAGCTTTGTCACTTAACAGCCATCAGGTCACCCCTATCCCACTTTGAGCTAAGGTTGAGTTAATATTCACCTCTCTTCGTGGAATTTTCCCCGTTTAGAAAAACCAAATGGAAAATCCCATCAATGAATAACTGCAAGGCCAAAATGTATGAAGGAGACTTCATTTGAAAAATAACAACTTCTAGTTTCTGGAAATTTATTTGTTTAGCATGTGAGTGAAACATCACCTAACCCCAAATGGTTTGCTGGAGATTTGGTGGGTGTTTAGACTTTAGATTATTCAATTCAATTTTATTCATATAGCGCCAATTCAGTCGCCTCAAGGTGCTTTATATCGTGATGGAAAGACCCTCCAACTTTAGAAAGAAACTGACAATCACGCAACCACCTATGAGGACAAAAAAAGTATTTAACAGAATGAAACCTCACGCAGAAATAGGCTGAGGGAGGTGCTGTCAGTGCTATCACAGTTGAGTAAAGGAAAGCAAACCAGTAGTCTAAGCCTATTGCATCACAATGAGTCCACTAGGGTCTATTTGACATAATCTGGTCATCAGATAGTGATTGTCACATATTGAAATGCACCAACTATACATGCATACCAGGTGGACTTTAAGTGGGCTTTTAACAAGTAAAACAGGAATGAGTGCTCGGCTGTTGGTGCTTTAGCTGTTCCTGTCCATAACAGAGTAAAATCAAGGCCTAAGGGAGGATTCAGAGTCACCTGATCCAGCTCTAACTATAAGTTTTATCAAAAAGTAAAGTTTTAGGCCTAATCTTAAAGGTAGAGAGGGTGTCTGTCTTCAGAATCCAAACTGGGAGCTGGTTCCACAGAAGAGGGGCCTGATAGCCGAAGACTCTACCTCCTGTTCTACCTCTAAAAACTCTAAGAACCATAAGTAAGCCCGCAGAGAGAGGGCAAAGACCTCATTAGGTAATATGACACTAATAGGTCTTTAATATATCACAGGGCCTGTTAAGATAAGCATTATATCTCAGAAAGTTCTGATAAAGTGCATTTCTATACACTACAAACCTGTTGCTATGAATTTATCCACTAATCTTGAAATATTAAGAAGTGAGAACTAATTATGCAACTTTAAATCTGACTTTTTAACCCAGCTGTGATGATGCAACATCTTGCTTCATAGTTTTGTTGATTGTGAAAACTGCTGCAGCTCTACTTAAAGTAAAGCGCTATACAAATACAGGCCATTTTACTTACATGCCATTTTCAGTAGTCCTGAACTTTTGTAGTGCTGGTAGATAAAGCTCAGATCTTCAGTTGACAACTGAATGCATTCCCCCAAAACAGAAGGAGCTGAGCCCAGCCAGGCTACAGTCTGTAATCACAGCACGGTGTTAATATAACCCGCTGAAAATCACCTGAAACAATTATGTTATCTGACTGAATACCTGCTTTAGGTCTGGTACTGGAAGCAGCTTTTCCAGCTTGGAGAGCAGATTCCATAATAACATATTTAGTGCTGAGTCATACTGTGGACCGTATTCCACTGGAAACACTTCCTGTAAGATAATAAGATGTTATTTTTATTCTGAGCATTTTCAAGCAAAGATATGAAATACTAAAATATGTCCTACCTGAAAAAAATATGCCCTCTCAATTGGATCTTTCAGCAGACTTTGAACCAGAGCGACAAAAGTAGACTCTGTTGTTTTCACCTCTGCATCCCTATACTGCAACAAATTGAAGTGATATCTTGAAAAAAGTACTGGGCACACTTTATTTTATCCGCTTCTCTTTAACGTACTTACATCTGTGTTTTCAGAGGTTACTGGGAGTCTGTCCAAATGGCTCTGGATTGCTTGAGAATCAACAGAACCGCGTGTCGAGCCTTTGCAAAGCTCCAGTATCAACTGAAATATCAATAAACTGAGTTTTTACAGAATCAACGCAGCAAAATAAACATACATGGATGGCATGTCAGCCAGACTACCTCCTCACCCTCGCTCTGAGTCCGAGGATGAGCTGGGCTCTCTGCCTGTGGCTGATCAGACCAGGAATCGCCTCTGTCACTGTGAACACGAACTCCTGCAGCTTCTGGTAGTTCATCACATCTTTCTGCTTCACCAGCTGCCACATGGAGGCAGACAGAAGCTGCAGAGGTGGCACCAGGAGTTGGAGGGATGAGAGAGACAGGCTTGGATCTAAAACATAAAGGTGTAATGTAACAAATGGTCTTTAGAGGGCAGCAATCAGCTTTAAACTCCAGAACTCACATTATAACAATACATATATGTTATTCATTTAATTCAGTGCTGCTCATATATTACTATGGTAATAATTTTATCAGGTAAAGCAGTGCACACATATGTATTTTTTTTGCCCTGCATTTAAACAGCCATAAGCTTGGGAACCCGAATAATTGCTGGGCCGCCCTTAATAAAAGGAGTTTTAAATTGCGATTCTTCAAATATATCATCACCTATGGTTTAGACAATAAATTAAGCATAATACTTGACAGAACAATAAAAAAATCTGAAAATAATTGATTTATTTTTTATGCTAAAGCTTAAATCGTGCGTATCACGATTCCTTTAAATAGACGGCCCCCGCTAACTGTGTAACCGGCATAGACGTAGCTTACTTTATATCGCAGCTGGTTCAGATTGCCACTGTACCCACCGTTTGTTTTCTCTGCAGAGTCGAGAACCTCCATGGGTACACTGTGCCTCTTGTGGCGCCGAAAATTAGGTGTTAAGTTGTTTTGTTTTAGTTAGCAGCTAACATGCGCTGTTCGGACGCAAGCACCGTTTCCTCAACGCTTATACTCCGATTCCGCTTTTCAAAATAAAAATATCAAAGCTGACAGGCGACTTGTCTCGCTGACATTAATTTCTTACAGTTTTGTTTTTAGTTGGAAGACAAGATAGGACAGACTTTCCTAATCCTACAAATCCTAAAAAAATTGTAATTCAAATGTTACATAAATTAAAAAGTAAGTAAACAAGTAAACATTGCATCTGCATGCCTTTCCCCAGCATGAAGCTATACTGCTGCTTACTGATCGTCACCTCTCTTCTTAACCTAGCTTGTAGAATTCCTTCTCATAGCGTCACGGTTTGGCACATCAGCCTTATCCCTCTGTAGTTACTACAGCTCTGTACATCACCCTTGTTCTTGGCAGTCAGTACCACGATATTCATGTCCATGTAAAAAAAAACAAAAAAAAAAACAGTAGACCGTAATAAAGTAAAAATATCTCCTATCTAACAAAGCAAGATTTAAAGAATTAAAATTTGCAACAATATAACTCCAAGCATTCTTTTAACTGAGATTTTTTTTAATTTAAAAAGCATGGACATTATCTGATAATGAAGACCTCATTGTTTGAGTTCATTGTTTTGCTTGCCTCCTATAATCTGTTCTTTATTTTTTGTTGTCAAAAACCTATAAATAAATAACTAAATAAATGCAAATTCTATACAACAATGATATTTTCATGGCTAAATTACAATTAGCTCCGAATGTAGCAAAAGTTCAACTTTTACTTTGAAGTAACACCCAATCCACCACCCCCTCTTAACTTTATTTTAACACAAACAATTTACAGAAAAATACAAACATGGCGGTTGACAGTGCATATAATTTAGGTAAAGCGGGGAACAAGAAAAAATACAGGGTTAAAAAAAATACAGGCTCGGGGGTTTTTGAAGTGTGACTTCGAGGCAGACTTCTGCTACGCAGTTGGTGACGTCAGGACGTGATCACGCAACCCAGAGTCACGTGAACCGTTTCACATATGTAAATGTTTTAATAACCTGTTTTCGGTCTTTTTTGCAGTGAAATTTCTTGCTGCTGAATTTGAAAGTGCACTTTAATCTTCAGCCATCCAACATGGACGAGGACGGGCTGCCCATCGTGGGCTCTGGAGTCGACCTTACCAAGGTTGGCGTTGACTAGTTAGCTAACATAGCTATTTGAGTAGCTGGTGAGGAAATGAAAGCAGGCACAAGCAGAGCTGCTTGACATATGTTTTGTTTAAGAAGTAAGATAACACAAAGGCTGTTTATCGGTGATAGAAGCCTATAGCTTGTAAGTCATTAACAGATATGACTGTCGCAAGCGCTTGTAGTTCAATTTCCCTGATAAATGTGGGATTTTTTTTTTCTGAAGTGAATATATGTTGTTTCTACACTTGATCTTCCAGGTTAACAGATTTAACCTTTGCAAAGAGATATACTTACGCTTATCTTTTTTTAAACAGTTTTGTTTAAAATAAATCTATGAAGTGAAAATGTCTGTCTTTTGTATAAATAACTGTTTTTCGGGAAGGGATGCTTTTTATTTTATTAACCGTTCTGGGCAATATTAGCTAATCTAAAATGCTATTTTGCTCTTGTGAAATATAAGTGGTATATTTTGCATTCAGCATTTGAAGTTGCCTGTGAATGACTGTCAGTATGTTAAACTTGTTCTACTCATTATTTTTTTTCACAAGAATAATAAAAATATTTTTGCAATTCCTTTTCCTGTGTTTCCTTCAGGTTCCTGCGATCCAGCAGAGAAAAATTGTTGCCTATCTCAATCAATTTGTTGCACACACTGTCCGCTTCCTTAACCGCTTTTCCACAGTGTGTGAAGAGGTTTGTTTATCTTTATTTCTCTTCTGTTCTCGTCATGAAACAAAAAATGTCTGTAACACTTAAATCCTGAACTGTTGTATAACATCTTCCCCCAGAAACTTGCAAACATATCTCTTCGCATACAGCAGATAGAAACCAGCCTGTGCATTTTGGAGGCCAAGGTGAGTTCTGAAGCCTCTGCAGGCTGCAGTGCAACATTATCTTAATTTCATGCCAATTTGCTTGATATTTATGGAGCAATATTGTGCTCTGTGTAGTTGTCTTCCATTCCTGGACTGGAGGACGTCACAGTCGAAGGACTCGGTAAGCAGCAGCAGCAGACTGCACAGGCCAATGGACCCATCATCCCCAATCAGAGCCAAATCGATGGTCCAGTAGCAGCGCCTCAAGAAGAGGTAGATACACAAACTCGTACACATGGAAACATAGCTCCATCCAGCTTCGCTGAACTGCAAAGTCGAGGATTTTTTTTGACAGTTTTAAAAATAAACCTGTGAGCAGACAAAGGTTTCAAAGCACCCCCAAGACCACCTAATTAGAACTTAATTATCTGACCTGTTTAGTCCATTTTCAACTTGACAATCCCACATTGAGAGAGGCTCCTCTAATATATCTTTGACACGATGGGAGCCAGAGCAGCTTTTCTCTTCTGTATTTGTTGTCCAGACATTCAAGTAAAAATTTCCACTGTTTTGACTACAGTGGGATGATGTCCCACCACATGTGGTTTTTGTTTTTCTTCCTCTAGATGAAGAAAGGGAATATTTCCATGGAGCTTTATCTGGCTGAAGTTCAGTTGTTTCCAGAGTAGCTCTTTTAATGCAAGAGAGCCAGTAAAGAGAAAAAACTGAAGTAGTTGAAGACAAATGAAACTTTGGTGTTTTTTCTTTTTGGGAATATAATTTGTCAAATTGTAGTGGTTTTGATGACCTCCACCTCTGTTACTGAAGTGAAAATGAAAGAACTTCAAAGCAGGAATCTCCCACTTGTATTATTTATATCTACCAGTGGAGCAATTTTAAAAAAGAGCCACATGAAGATAGTTTAGGGTAAATGAGATGATGAAAAGAGCATAAATGTTATTTGAAAGATCCCTTGCAAAGAGGACCTCAAACAGAAAACTTTTACAGGCTTTCATTTCTCTTATTGTGAAACATTTGCAGAAACATGTTGTGGAAAAGTCAAACTTTTTT